TCGAGGAGGGCACCTGTTGGGATGAGCACTAGGTGTTGTATATGGAAACCAATTTGACAATAAATTTCATATTAAAAAAATAAAATTAAAAAATAAAATAAAATAAACCAAAAAATAAAAAAACAAAAATAAACATTTAAAAAAATTTAAAAAAAAAAGGATGCTATATAAAAGACTTCCAGTTTGGGTAAAGACTCAGACTGAAAGAACCCCAAATCTCTTTCTATTACTAAGATATTCTATTTACCAATGTGCTCCAAAAATAACATTGTAAACAATTATTTTAAGATGTTTTTCTGTGACATATATTGGACAAAATGTATAAGCCTATATAATGTAAGCCAACTGAATTTATTTATTTTTTTTTAATTTTTTTTTTCAACGTTTTATTTATTTTTTGGGACAGAGAGAGACAGAGCATGAATGGGGGAGGGGCAGAGAGAGAGGGAGACACAGAATCGGAAACAGGCTCCAGGCTCTGAGCCATCAGCCCAGAGCCTGACGCGGGGCTCGAACTCACAGACTGCGAGATCGTGACCTGGCTGAAGTCGGACGCTTAACCGACTGCGCCACCCAGGCGCCCCAATAAGCCAACTGAATTTAAATGCTGAATGTTTCCTAGATTTGTTTGAAAAGAAGAAAACAAATAAGGACTTACACTTTTGTTTTATTGAGTTTCTCAGCTCCTCCCTAGATAACACCAAGGTCTTACATATATCCTGTTAATTATTTATTCATAGTGCATAGTGTTGGTGCTACCATAAACATCTTTAATCAAAAGTTTTGTTTCTGGAAATCAATTATGGAAACATAATTGATGTTTGTATATTGACTCAATATCTAGCAACATTGCTAAATTCTCTATAAAAACTTATCTGGATATTCTTTACATACACAAACACATTATCTATAGAGAATGGTAGTTTTGTTTTCTCCTTTCAAATCCTTACTGCTTTCTTTTTTCCTGTTCTTGCCTTACCACCTTAGCTAAAGCCTCCATTATGATACTGAAAATTAGTGATGATAGTAGACATCCTTGACTTTGTGAAAATTAATAAAAGGAAATTTCATTTAGAATGGAGGCAGGAGGCCAGCAGTGGGAACTCTCATGTCCTATCACCAGTTGTCAACTGCAGCCTAAATGAAGAGAGGGACTTTGCATGTGGAATCTACCTGACTGTCCCAGAAGGAAAAAAGAAGGCTTTCCTCCTCCCCTGGCAACAGTTTAGCCAATGAGAGACTGTCATAACTCAGCCAACGAAAGGCCACTATACTCTGAACTCCCAGTTGGCTCCAATGTTTATAAGAGCCCACCCAACTTCCTCCTTTTCCTCTATAAAAAAAGAAACTTGTTCAGGGGACTTGCCTATGGTTTTGCCCCAGCTTGCTTGTCCAGGATGACAAGTCTCTGCTATTCCTAAATAAATCCATCTTTCGCTGGTAAAATAACTGTTAGTTTTATTTTGAAGGTTAACTACTTATGTCCGATCTAAGTGTGAAAGCATTCAAAGTTTCATCATTAAATATAATGTTGGCTACATTCTTTTAAAATAACACCACTTGGGGCACCTGGGGGGCTCAGTCGGTTAAGCATCCAACTTTGGCCCAGTTCATAATCTCACGTTAGTGGGTACAACCCCTCAACAGGTTCTCTGTTCTCAGTGAGGAGTCTGCTTCGGATCCTCCAAAGAGAGAGATGCAGAAACTGAAGCGGGCTCCAGGCTCTAAGCTGTTAGCACAGAGCCTGACACAAGGCTTAAACTCACCAACCACGAGATCATGACCTGAACCAAAGTCGGAGGCTTAACTGAGTGAGCCACCCGCACCCAAGGTATTCTGTTTCTTATGTTACTGCCCATTTCAACTATATTTCTCAATTTACTTGCATAAAATGTTTCAGTATATGTTTTTATCTAATGTCCAACAACATCAGCAGCTGTGTCCTTTTTGCTTCTTATTCCTTACTTTGGTTATTTATGCTTTCTCTTTTTTCTCAATCAAGCTCATTAAAGATTTCTCAATTTTTTTTTTAATTTAATTTTTTTTTTCAACGTTTATTTATTTTTGGGATAGAGAGAGACAGAGCATGAACGGGGGAGGGGCAGAGAGAGAGGGAGACACAGAATGGGAAACAGGCTCCAGGCTCTGAGCCATCAGCCCAGAGCCTGACGCGGGGCTCGAACTCACGGACCGCGAGATCGTGACCTGGCTGAAGTCGGACACTCAACCGACTGCGCCACCCAGGCGCCTCAATTTTATTTTTTTAATTTAAAAAGAACCTTCTTTTGATTCCTTGATCTCTTTTGTATGTGTGTTTTCTTATCCACTAATTTATGCTCCTGCTTTTATTTCATGTCCTCTATTTTGAGTTTATTTGGCTCTTATTTTTCCTTTTAAAAAAAATTTTTTTTTTTTCAACGTTTATTTATTTTTGGGACAGAGACAGAGCATGAACGGGGGAGGGGCAGAGAGAGAGGGAGACACAGAATCGGAAACAGGCTCCAGGCTCCGAGCCATCAGCCCAGAGCCCGACGCGGGGCTCGAACTCACGGACCGCGAGATCGTGACCTGGCTGAAGTCGGACGCTTAACCGACTGCGCCACCCAGGCGCCCCTTATTTTTCCTTTTTAAATGAATGTTTATCTCATTAACTTTCAGCTGTTCTTCTTTCCTAACATGTATTTAAAGCTA